ATTTTCATAGGCTGTTCATTACTGTTTTGTAATTGAAAAAGTGAAGTGTTTCTCTTTTTAATTTACCAGTAAAGATTTTATTTTGACAATAATTTTCTTCTACAATTGATTTGTTGGTTGTTGGTTTTTTTTTAATTCTGAAAAAAAACTTGATTCTTAATTATATCTTGGTTTTAATAAGCCTATTGCTTAATTATTTTAGACTTGCAGGTAGCTCAGAGCACTCTAAATGTGATTCGTTTTAATTAAACAATAGACATTTTCTGGTTTATACCCCAATCCTATTTTTTCCTTTGTTTGATCTAGGGCTTTGTCAACACTGTTGATTTTTTATTTGGTTTTGCATTTTTTTCTGCTGGAAACTGCTTCAAAGTAGATGATGCAATACAAGCCTTTGCAAAATACACAGATAGCTAAAAAGTCCAACAACTCAATAGCTTGCTTGCAACCATAATTGATATATTTTAACACCTTTTACTGATGTCATTATAATTACCTATAAAATGTATTAATCATGTCTTTAACATATTTTAAATACCTATAAACCATATGGTAAGATTTAATTAATTATGAATGTTCCATCTAATATAAAGTGCAGCCAAACATTAATTACAAATTTTCCAAAACAAGTTAATAAGCCTCAGGGAGGCGAGCTGTGCTGACACGGATGAAGCACATCCTCCTTTCGAATGTGCTTCAAAGGCCGCCACGTTGGCTTAGGTACCTCAGTATCCTTTGGGAGATTCAAAGATGGTTACTTCCAAATGTAAACTGATTAAACTGTCTATCTATTTATAACTCTTTTTCTCCCCCAAATAAGATGCTTTTGTCTGTTGTTCTAATGAGGTGACTTGTTATCTCTTGTAATTTGCATCTGCTGATTTCATTGTTCTATCACCTTTGCCCAAAGGAAATGTGTCTCAGCTACAGCATTGAGTGTTGCAACACCTTTTTTTAAGAAAATACAAAATGCAGTTCAAAACAATTAAGAAAAACAATTAAGAGTTGTGCTTATTTCTAGAGTATGTTTCATTGTAAAGAGCAGTGCAGCTGTGGAAGGAATCCAGACTCCTGCTTTCAGACATTCAAAATGCAGTCTTCATGTGGCCTTGAGGATTAGGTGAACTTGCTATGAAGGGAAAGGAGCAGCATAACTACAGAGCTGTGATAGACTCCCGCTGGTCTACAGTTAGTGAACATGGTTTGGAGGGTCAGAGAAGTTGAGGGTGAAGGATAAGATCACTCAACCCGTCAAACTCTAGAGTCGTGTTCTGCTGCCCTTATTTACCAGCTTAATTATTCTCTGAAATACGGATTCAGCTGAATTGCTTTAAAAAAACCCCCAACATTGTAACACTGTATTATTTATAATATAAATCACTATAAATAATTAATGACAGTGCGTTTACTGAAGCATATACCTTTTATGGGCCAACTTTTATTTTGGCAATGCAGTGAAATCTAAGGTGGTGCATTCATCAGGTGTGTCTTAGCCATGCCTGCCTTCAGTCCTAAAAGTCTTTACAGGCTTGCCCTGCAGCCAGTCCTGCGGTTTCGAGCTTGCAGTATCCTTCATCATCTACCGTAGCACACGTGGAGCTTCACAAGGAGAATTGCTTACGCTAAGCTGTTAGATAGTGTGTGTGAATACCAGAGGAGCAAGGAATGTGTTTTTTCAAGTGAGCATCCTGCTTATCCCATGCTTGGGACAAGTTTTGAGAAGAAAGGCAGTGATCCCAATTCCCACCTAACACAGCGGACTTCCCCATCTACTTTCTGTAGTATGTATTTAGCTATAGAGAACTGAATCTCAGTTGGGACAAATGATGGAGATCCATTGGTACTAATTGTTAAAAATAAAAAGAGCAGCAGGAGTGTGTATTTAATTTTGTACTGAATAAAGCAGGATAATAATGAAGTACATGCAAGTGAGAAGGCAAAATCCTCATGACTCTTCTGAGAAAGGGAAGATAGCCATGTTGAGTTTCATGACATTTGCTGCCTTCTCAGCTGATACTTACTCTGACAACTGTGTAAGACTCCAACTAATGCGGTTAGAGCTTCGCCTGGAGTGTTAACGTTGTTTGCTGTTCTGTTGATTCTGTGTAGCTAGATGTGGGTGTTTGGGGCATTTCCAAAATACCTTCTAGCTAAAGCGCTTAGGGAACCAACAGAATAGCCTCGCTGTGATTCATTTGGTGCCTTTGAAATGGATTGATGTGATCGGAGATAGAATTAGGCATATTGGGAAAATAATGTTTACTTTTTTGTTAATTATTCTGGACATTTTTATATACAGTTAGTTCCATAGCTGTTCCATGTTATCTTAGGGAAGACTTGGTAGAAGGTCCTGCACCTAAGGATATGACAGATAGGAGGACCAGAAATAGGGAGAGAGGGAGTCAAATTAGCCTCACCTTTGCATCCTTCCGGTGCTGGTGTCTAGGACGTCATCTCTACTGTTGGGATGCTGGTGCTTTTCTGTCTGTATCAGTAACGCAAGTCTTCTTCTTTGTCCGCATCTTTTAGAAGCATCTTTCTGTTTTGTTCCACACTATCTGTCCATTAGGCATGATTCTCACTGGTGGAGTGTGTGCGGAGTGGAGGGAAATTTTCTTTCCTTAAAGTCATTCCACAAAGCATACCTCTGCCATGTCTGCAGGTCACTCCTGCTGAGCGTCGGTGATAAACTGAGACAGAAGTCTGCAACAGTGTGAAGTCTCAGTTTGCTTTCTAAACAAATGTTGAGTTTATACTTGCATGGGCTAAATCCTGCTTTACAGAGTCAGTTTTGCAAATGAGCTATTGGCTTCAGTGCAGTATGTGTTCGGCTTGTATATATGAACCCTGAAAAGTGCAAAATGTGGATTGCGTATGAAAAACTCCATTGTATCATCATAAGAATGATAACACAGTTATTTCAAAGTTGCCATGCAAGACTGCATGAGGTAAACAACATAATACAGTTGAAAATTATTCTAGTTTCAATTGGTGCAGCTGAAAAAGATGGAGTTAATGTGGGATTTCTCTCTCTTTCACACACAAACATACATATGCACACATACATACCTTAAACATTGGTTCTATTGGTGTCCAAAATATGAGTAATATACGGATGGGTTCAAATTTGTGGTGTGTTGTCAGTGTATGGCTGACAAACATCAGGTTGGTAACTGACACAGTTTGATATATCTAAGGTAACAGTGTGAGTATTAAAGCACTTTGTCTACAAACCAATGCTGCAACTTTTAAAATCTCTTCATAATTTTTTAGAATCATGTTATTGAAGGATGGAGGACTAAGAATAGCCAATGTGACCAAAGTTGATGCTGGAAGCTACACGTGCCTGGCAACAAACCAGTTTGGAACAGCCAGTGGCTCAACAAACTTAATAGTTACAGGTAGGTGAGTGGGAACGGAGGGTCAGCTGTGAGGTGATGTAAATTGAATTGCAAACTGTGCAACAGAAGACTGCAACGATGTGGAGCCTGAGTTTGCTTCCTGAAAAAATACTAAATCTGGTGGAAAGTAAAGAGTGTAAGAAGTTATATATTTAACAATATATAAAGATAAAAGGGTATTTGCTATAGATCTTTTATTAGTTGAAAGAGACTGAGGGATCTTCTGTCTTTGACAAAGATATTTCTCAGATGTGAGGGAGCTCTGAACATTTTCCTCCCTTCTCTCACTTATCTAAATACTAAATCGTGCAGTTATGCTTTTAAGTTCAGGGTGGTTTTTTTGTTGTTGAGAAAAAAACATGGCAATCAAAAAAATATTTGAGGTAATTTTATATTCCAGTCCAAAATCTGTTTAGCCCTACGGAACTGTATGCTGTTCGCTTACGGAAAAAGATGTGGTAGAAACTCCAGCTGCAGGAGCGTTCAGGGACTCCACAGGCAGTAAAATACAGTCTTTCAAAAGCAAATTGTGTACATAATTGTTGTTAAAAGGGTTCTTGTCCCTTCCTCATTCATTACTAGCTGCTGTCTAAGATACTGGATTAAGAGGACCACTAGTCTGTGAAGTTTATCCGAAGAATGTCTTTTCTCATTACGTTCTTTTTTAAAGATTGGAATATCTGAAAGATTTTCCAAATTCAGAATTACCTAATATCGTACTGCATTACATATCCTATGTATCTCATAGATCCAAACAGAATTATTTTGTTCAGGGAATTAACAGCTTCACATTTTCAGTCTATGCTCCTAAATGATTCGTGTCCCTTTATATTCAAATAATAGAATTATATACAAAGGATTTCTAGAATTAAATTTTATTTTTACAGTATTTACAATACGTGAAATTTTTCTCCATTAATGTGATTCTGGAATAACAAGCAGCTGTTCTTAATGACACTATTTATGTTCTATATGATATATAGACCCAAATATCCAATGCATTCAACCCTGTGTAGATTTCCTCTAGTTTCCAGATTTTATTAGCTCCTTCTCTCACTCCCACCTCTTAATCTTCCCGGTGGCTGCTACTACAGCTTCCTGCTCCAAAACATGAGTGTTACTGCTGAAAACCACACACGCTTTTGAATGGTAATTTCATCGCTGTGGGTTGCGGTGCATTTAGCTTTGTAAAGTGTATTGGCCTGTACACAGCAGGTTAAAATTTACCTTTTCCGTGTTGAGTAGCTCCCACTGATAAATGTGCAAGGACACAATGCTCCAACAAGAGGGGTCAGGCAGCAGCATTTATAGTCCGGCTGCATAATTTGAAGTGACTGTCATTAATCAGATTTGAAGAACGTGGTGAAATATTAGTAGCAAGCAAAGCTCAGCAAAACAGGAATCCAATAACTGATACTTCTGCTCTCAACAGAGCCAACAAGGATTACTTTGGCACCTTCCAACATGGATGTCACTGTCGGAGAAAGTGTCGTCTTGCCTTGCCAGGTTCAGCATGATCCTATACTGGACATCAGCTTCACCTGGTATTTCAATGGAACACTCACCGATTTCAAGAAGGATGCTTCTCATTTTGAGAAGGTTGGAGGGGTGAGTTGCGAACACCTTCTATTCATTTGCCTTACAGATGTATGCAGCACAGACAGGCTTACTCTTTTTCTTTTTTCAACATGGTGAAAACAGGGTGTTTCTTCTGTTTTGGGCCTGTAGAATTTTCTTCTCTGTTGGAGGGGAATCATTCATTGAGCTCGCTGCCCATAACCCATTGTTCAGGCACCTTGTATTTTAGACCTGAAGTACTGACAAGTTCCTACCTCTGTTTCTGCATCTGGCCCCGTATGACTTTCCCCAAGATCACATGAAGCACAGCAATGACAGATTGAGGAACTTGTCGCAGACTCTGTGAGCTTCAGCCTAAAGCTGAACAAAAACATCCCATCTTTCCTTATTTTTCCTGCATTTGCATCCCTAGTGTATCCCTCAACATTCTGCCTGAGCATCCCCAGGTGAGAAGCCATACATCTAGTTAAATACATCCTATGCAGGATGCAGAGATGCTGCTGGGGTGGGGGAAGGGGTGTGGTGACATTAATGGTTTTTAGAATTTAACCTTCTAATCAAAACATGAAAAGTAAAGCATTAAGACAGATGAAGGATGTATCAAGAGAATGAAATCAATTACAGCAAAAGGTCTTACAGTGCAAGCCATGGCCAAGTGGTGACAAAACAAGCAGCTGAGCATCCAGCATGAAACTGGCCATTACAAGCCTTCATAAAGTTTCCTTTCATGTATTCTTGCCAGATCTCCTGCTCTAGAGGAATGTCTGTGGGTTAGATGCTACTGCCTGTGAAACTGTGAAATTTCAGCACCTAACTTTTTTCTTTTTGCCTGTAAAACCTCGAAAGATTTAGCATTTAATCTGTAGACACCAAACACAGATTGTTCTGCAGTTTGCAATTGATTAAATATAAGTGCACATGGAGATGACGAGATTTCCTTGTAGGAGCCATGAGATATTCATATATCATGTACATTTTCACATAAATGTTTTGAGAATTACAAACTGACCATCTGTCATGCTGTAATGGGAATGCTCTGGTTTCATAGCCCGTTACCTTCCAGTATTGCTACATGGACTTTATTTATTTAGTAATATTTCCCCACAGCTGTACTCTGGTTGTATATACAAATAGTAATATTAGAAAGGAAAGGTTAAAAACATACCAAAGCCTGAATCTGACAGTTTTACTGGCACAATTAAGGCTTCATAAGCTGACTGGAAAATGCAGTATTTTTTCTTACTAAAAATGCCAGCTTTTTCCTAAAACAAACAGAGGCATAATTCCAAATCAAAGCCTTGTTTAGGTGTCTTCCCACCTCCCCCACCCCCACCCC